TCCTGGAACATTTACCCCGCGGACAATTACACCCCGGACAATTTACCCCCCATTGCCATTCCCCCCGCGACAATTACCCCGGACAATTACCCCGGACAATTACCCCCGGAACAATTACCCCCGGCACATTACCCCGCGACATTTACCCCCCGGACATTTAACCCCCGCGCCGACATTTACCCCCCGGGACAATTACACCGCGACATTTACCCCCCGGACCAATTACCCCCCGGACATTTACTCACTTGGTGTTTATTATTCATGTTGAACAGTGATACAGGCAGGAGGTCGAGGAGGCAGGGAAGAAGGCTGGTGGAGGAGGAAGGGGGAGAGGTGAAAGAGAAGGTGTGTGCGAGGGAGGAGGAGAGAAGGAGGGAGGTAGAGGAGCGCAGGAGGAGAGGAGGTGGAGGAGGTAGGACGAGTGAGAATGGTGAGGCGAGAACGTGGTGGAGCGAGGCAGAGGCGGGAGAAGGTGGAAAAGGAGGACGACGGGGGCGAGAAGGTGGAGGAGGAGGGGCGGGAGGAGTGAGGAGAGGAGTGGAGGATGCGACACAGGAGGCGGAGAAACCGGCGGAGAAGGGCTGGCGGCGGAGGCAGTGTAGGGTGGGAGAAGGCTGGAGGCAGTGAGGTCAGGGGCAGAAGGCTAGCGGAGGCCAGGGGGTGCGTGGAGGTCAGGAGGGCAGAGACGGTTGGATGGAGGAGGAGAGGAGGAGAGGAGGTGTGGAGGAGGAGGAGGGGGAGAAACGGGGGAGAAGGTGGTGAGAGATGGAGGAGGCGAGAAGGAGGAGGAGGAGGAGGTGGAGGAGGAGGAGGAGCGCAGGAAGAGAAGAGGAGAGGAGGTGGAGGGGAGGGGGGCAGACGTGGGGAGAAGCGTGGTGACGAGGAGGAGAAGGTGGCTGGCAGGGAGGGAGAGAAGGTGGTGGCAGCAGGAGGAGAAGGAGGAGAAGGTAGCAGGAGAGGTGAGAGGAGGGGGAGTGATGATGGTAGAGGAGGTAGAGTGCGCCCTCCGCACCTCCTCCCTCCCCCACCTCCTCTTCCCTACTCTCCTCTCTCCTCCCTCTCCTTCTCCTCTTCCTCATCCTCCACCTCATCTTCTCCTCCTCCTCCACCCTCTCCCCCTCCTCCCCCTCCTTCTCCGACACCTTCTCCCACGTTCTCCCTCTACCTCTCCTTCTTCTCCTCCTCCACCTCTTCCTCCCTCTCCTCTCCTCCTCTCCACCTCCTACTGCCTCCTCTCCTTCTCCTTTTTTTTCCCCACCCAAAAAAAAAAAAAACCTCCCCACATTTCTCCCCCCTCCTCCTCCACCACCTTCTTTCCTCCTCCTCGCACTCCTGCCCCTGTATCCACTGCTTCAACAATAAATAATAAACACCAAGTCAGTAAATGCTCCGCGGGGGTAATTGTCCGCGGGGGTAAATGTCCGGGGGGTAATTGTCGGGGGGTAAATGTCCGGGGTGTAATTGTCCGGGCGGGTAAATGTCCGGGCGCGGAGATTGTCCGGCGGCGAGTTCGTGAATGGCATGGGGCGTAAATGTCCGGGGGGTAATTGTCCGCGGGGGTAATTGTCCAGGGGGGTAAATGTCCGGGGCGGTAAATGTCCGGCGGGGGGGGTGATTGTTGCCGCCGCTGGGTATAATGGCATGCGGGGTAATTTGTCCTGGGGTGCGTAATATTGTCCGGGGGGTAATCTGTTCTGGGGGCTAATTGTCCGGGCGGGTAATATGTCCGGGCGTAATTGTCCGCTGGAGGGTAAATCGTCGGGCGGGTAATTGTACGGGCTGGCGAAAATGTCGGGCGTAATTGTCCGGGGGGCTTAATTGTTCCGAGGGGGTAAGATGTCCGCGGGCGCGGTAATTGTCCGGGGGTAAATGGCATGGGGGGTAATTGTCCGGGGGGTAATTGTCCGGGGGCAATTGTCCGGGGGGTGATTGTCCGGGGGGGGGAATTTGTCCTAGAACCATATTTAGAATCGCCTGCCATCAATCGACGCACGCTACGCATTGCAAAAGATTTTTCTTGTACGAAAATGATCATACTTTTGCCGGAAGAAGCCTTTTTTAATGAAATTACACGCTTGCATACCTTCAAACAGATGATTTTCAGAGAAACACGGTTGCGGTCCTATGAAGTTTGACTATACAGTTTCTAATAGGAAGTATTTTATACTATTTCAACTGCACGACGACAGTTTTCCCAAACAATAAAAAAAACTAGTAAATTTGAAAATTTAGACCTGCAGTCATATAACGATCGTGAGTGAAATCCTGCCCCTCTTCATCATCCTATCTACGGACTATAGAAACCCCCATCTGGGCACATTGATCCCCCTCCCTGTACATTATGATCGATGCTGTACAACATGGCGGATAAACATGGGGGAGCAGTACAGATGCATCCCGATAACACCACAGTCAAAATAGCGGCAGAGCACGTATATCATATGATAGATATGATATGCGTGCTCTGATAGAGGTTAGAGTCGAAACAGCGGCTATGATTCTAGAATGTGACGTCATCGTGGCATCATCCTATGCGGCTTACACGCGCGCACGATAAACGCGTGTCGTCATCATAAAATAATCAGATCACACGCTTGCTTAGAATTGTAGGTGAAAGAGTTTTATTTAGTAGAACAAATTCGCATAAGAAACCCCCTAAGTAGTATCCGCGCGAAATAAATACTGGAGTTCATACCCGATAATAAATTTCCTAGCGACGATTTTAAATAAGCCGGGGTAATATTATTATTACTAAATCTGTATTGTATATAATTCAAATACAAATTGTACAAGTACTGAAAAAAAGTACTGAAAAATTCAAAAAGTACTGAAAACTGTCTTTTTATGAATTATGGCTGTAATAGCTAGTGTAGTAATATATGCGCGTTTTTCTCCAAAAGAAATGATGGCGAAGGTATTTGTCGATGTTTAAGAAATTTGTTAAAAAAAATTGGTAACGGATGATGATAATTCTGCACATAACGGTCATACAGTCTTCGTTCGTGACCGTTGATTAGGAGAACTCGCACTGTTAGGATGATCTCAAAACTGGTGGTGATTCCGTCACCTACTTGGTGGCTTTTGCTCTTATAGTGGGAGAGTGAGAGTAAGAGTGAGAGTGAGAACGAGAGCGAGGGAGAGGGCACTAGACACAAGGGAAGGAGGTGAAACAGAGAATAGGAAATGATGCGTGTACGTGTGTGCGTTTAGGGGAGACAGGCGAGTGAGACAGTGAGAAATAATAGACAGTGAGATAATAAGAAATGAAGAGAGAGAGCGAGACAGAGAGAGAGAGAGAGCGAAGGAAAGGGGGAAGAGAGAATGGAAATGACAAAGAAAAAGACGCAAGAGAGCGAAGCGAAAAAAAGCAAGAGAGAGAAACAGAGATAGACAGCAAGCGCACATGCGCGTGAGAAGGAAAGAGAGCGGATAGAAAAAACGATCACATGCATACAAACATGGCAGCCATGGATGAAGTGAGGGGCGCCGGCGCGCTGGGCCGCGCTTGCTGCTGAATAATTGAAGGCGCTCACTTCGAGCGACGATAAACCCGGAATAAATAATTCAACGCGAGCGCGCAATCAGCGCTGATTGAAACCGATTTTAATTATTTTCGTAGATTTATAGCCGCGCCAATGACTTGAGCGCCATCAGAAGCGTATTGCCAGGGGCGCTGGGGCTTGACGAAGAGAGGAAGGGGATGGGAGGGGGGGTTCCGCCAGCGAGGTTTCATTGAGTTCAGGCAGGCATGCGTATTCTCGTCGAGTCGGCTTCACTAGGTACATACTTACATCGCAATTAAGATTCTGGGAATAATTGCGTCTCTATTGGGGCGGGTTAGAGAGAGAGAAGCAGCGTTCCTAAGCAGTGCACCTCTCGGGGGTTAGTGCGTGGCTATAGATCTCACGGGCTAGCTTCGAGCTTCAGTTACATAATCGATCAACGATATTAGTCCGATATCCTCGATCATGAGTACCTTCGTGTGTGCGATGCCATGTAACTTATCTCAGCGCCCCCTATTTCTGAGGCAGTCGCCGTAAAACAGCTCACAGCAGTGAAATTGTATTGAATTGTATTGTACTGTATTGTGTTGTATTGTGTTGTATTGTATTGTATTGTATTGTATTGTATTGTATTGCATTGCATTGCATTGTATTGTATTGTATTGTATTGTATTGTATTGTATTGTATTGTATTGTATTGTATTGTATTGTATTGTATTGTATCGTATCGTATCGTATCGTATCGTATCGTATCGTATCGTATCGTATCGTATTATATTGGTATGGGTTATTTATTTTTATTTTTGTTTTGTATTGTATTGTATTGTACTAAGTATTGTATTGTACTAAAGGTATTGTATTGTACTAAGGTATTGTATTGTATTGTATTGTATATTGTATTGTTGTTTGTATTGTATTGTATTGTATTGTATTGTATTGATTCTATTGTATTGTATTGTATTGTATTGTATTGTATTGTATTGTATTGTATTGTATTGTATTGTATTGTATTGTATTGTATTGTATTGTATTGTATTGTATTGTAAGGTAAGGTATTGCGTGATACCAAGAGAGGTCGGAGAGACCTTCCTTGCAGCAGCCTCACTTCTCCACGCGGCCGGGACAGAGGCACAGTAGCGTCATGGCGTGTTCTACAGACATCCTTCATGGAGAAAGAGAGAAAGAGAGCAAGAGCGAGAGAGGAGAGACAGAGAAAGAGAAGGGGCGAGAGAGTGAGAAGGAGCTAGAGAAACGAGAGAGAGAAAGCACGCGCGAGAGAGTGAAAAAGAGCTAGAGAGCGAGAGAGAGAGCGAGAGAG